TTTTCTGATAAAATCAGTTCATCCCATGGTCAGCCATGCATCAGAGTACAGCACATGAGAAGGGGTAGCTCTGCACTGATGCAAGCAAAACAAATACAACATTAAAAAGGGAGATTTTTCAAAACAAAACAATCAGTGATAAGCTTTTGTAGTACTACTTGCTTTTCATTTCTGTCAAATCTAGCTATAGTCTGAATTTGAGCATACTGAAACTTGAAAATGCTGTCAGGTATGCTAAATGATTCAATCCCATATATGGTTTGCAAGTATCTTACCACTTTAACTCAAGTCCGTCAAATCTTATAGTCAGCATTTTTATAGCATAAAAGGTTACTGTATATACCCACTGGCCATTATGCTTACATTAGTCATTCAGTTTGTGAATAAAGTGCCATACATATGCAGAAACATGAAAACTAGCTTCACACAGGCCAGACAGGGTCATCAAGGATACTTAACTATGCTCAAGCACCAAGCAAACACGGCTGAAGCTTTTAAAGACCAAACATGCTCCAGCAACACTATATGCAAGTAAAAAGCCCTTGCAAATGCTTGATGCAAAAAGAAAACAAAAGAATTTGGGATCATTCCACCAGAGACAAAGTGGGTCTAAAAGCAGTATCTTCATCTCAGGCAAGCAAAAGGTATGTATGACAAATCCTCCATTTCCTTTAATAATCAAAAATGTATGACTAGATAGTGAATACCTACATTATCTTACCATGTTGGCAGAAGATATCCAGGTCTGAGTTGAGCAAGAAAGCCAGCATCTAAGCACTAACGCAATGGATGTTATCCAAGTGGTTGGCCTCTGCAACTTCCAAGGCAGCAGCAAGTTGTATTTGGACTACAAACTGCCAGTTGAATAGCACTGAGCTACAGTAAGCATAATGTTCTTGTTAGTCACATCTTCTATGAGAAAGATCCTGCCACCATTCTCTTGGTGTTGCTGTGACAACAGACTGCAATGCTAAATAATTGTGATGCTACCTACAACGTTATTTGTGTATTACAGCACCATTCTAGAGGCCCGTGCTCAACTGTGCTAAACAGACAATCCCAGCCTTACAATCTGAATTTGCTCACTTCTCACCCCCAGAAGAATGAATTTATTCTGCAAATGTTCCCATGCGTCTATGAAATCACATACAGAATACCTGCTACAATACTAAAAACATACCAGAGGCATCAATGTCTTCCAGAATTACTGTAGCCTACACAGCACTTAATACTCTGTAGAGATGCTAAGCAGTTAAATAGAACCTGCTCTCCTCTGAAAGAATCAACTAATCTGAAAAACTGTAATTAAACTTTATCATCTAGGAAAGAGGTGACTTCTATTTATTTAATGATCCAATCTCTGTTGATGCTGGTAGAGTAACAAAGGAAAAGTATTACCAGAAGCATGCTTTATTCTTTCTCATCAGTAGTTATCTTTTGAATACTGCTGGAGTTTGCTACACCACTGCTCTATACAGAACTCTGTCTGATCTAAAACATGTCCACTTGATTTACAAAATGAACTTTATGTGCAACACTCCTCTCACTAGAATGAATTTTAATTAAGTCTGAAAAAACATGGGAGACTACAACCAACAGAACTCCTCATTATCTAACTCACTCAGCTTTTTGAAAAGCCCTGGGAGCGTATGATCATTGCCTAATATTCCTCTTGCATCATTTTAACTACAGCCTTGAACACAAAAGGAAATGAGACCTAAATTAACTAGTCTCTTTTCAAGTGTGAAAACTTTTAAGTATCATCACAAAAGGGAGATTAATCCCTAAACTAGCTGAAAGTTACCTTTTAATAAAGCAAGTTTTTCCATTATATTTATTAAGCATATAACTTAATAAAAGGCTTACCCTGAATATTTCAGCTCTTTGTAGAAAGAGCTTTTCCTTTATATACTCATGAATAATGTTATTCACGAGACATCAGAAAAGCCATGTTTGTGACAAAGGTCTCTGGCAAAAAAACCCAGATATACCTTGGTCGATTTTTCTTGCAGTAATTTTTGTGACTATAACAGCAATTTTGGATAAATGAACACTGGTGTGGGGCTTTTAAAATATTATAATGAATGTAAATGTACCTTAACATGCACAAAGTATAAGCAGGGCAATCCTTTTTAATTTGGCATTTTAGTAAATTGAGTTGGTTTTCAAGGGGTCAGATGCTCACAAAGGGGCAGGACCGCGTAGCTGCACTGGGGAAAGCATGACCTTTCTCATAAGCAACTAGCGTTTAGATTGGTTCAGCTACAATGTGATTTCATTCTAACTGGCAAAAAAAAAATAAACTTTGCCACAATCAGTCATTATTATTGCAATATTAATAGCCCTATTCAGCCAACAGCTGAATAAGTTCACAGCACTTCACCACTATTTCAGGCTATATATACGCCTCACACATTACTAGCATCAAAATGTAACTGATGTAATCTCTCTTTTGAAAATGCCTACTTCTGAATTTATACATACTTCTAGTCCACAAGTATGACCTCATCTTAGCATGCAAGTTTATCTTTAAAGGTTAAAAAAGGTTACGCAACTGAGAAATCAGCTTGTGCAAATTACATGGTTAGTAATAAATTTCCTAAACATATTATTTTAAGATGCTACATTTAAGACTCCATTTGGGGGAAGGAGGACTTTAAAGAAGTCCCTAATACTTTTTTCTTTTTTCCCCACAATCTCTGCATTTAAAATAGACAAGTCAGTCATCTTTAGAAACCTTACACAATGCATCTTACCTTTTTACCCAGTTAGAAAAGGAAAATCCAGACTCAAGGTTGTTATCCTATTGGCAACATGTAGTAATTTCTGATATTTTTATTTTGCAACTATTGCATTGATAGTAGTTTAGAGATTTTGTAGTGCGTTACAAAGTGATAAAAACTGTGCCACTAAAAGGTTAGATTATGAGCACTGCAATCTGTCAACTAGGATAAGAGAAGTTCTAGTACCCAGTAACTTAGTATACTGGGGAATAAGCAAGCAAAAACTAACCACTAAGGTGTATTTAAATATTCTCAGAAATAGAATCTAGAAATAGAAATTAACTAGCATCCTTAAACATCAGCTAGAATAAATTTTTTTTTTCTTCTATTTTTTCTAGTGTTCACATCAGTCCACTCTATTAGCCTAACCTCCTTCTCTATGAATCCATTTCAGCATTTTCTTCTAGTACTACTCAGAAGTTTACCTACCTAACTGCTTACAAAGTCCTCTAGGGAACATTTTACATGATGCTACCAGTCTCACTTTTATCATTAAGAGGTCTGAAGTACACTTTGTTAATTATATAATTCAATTTGGACCATCCAGTCATAATGCTTCTAATGCCCCCCACTCCCTCCCCACTAATCCCCAATACACCCTCAGGTTGGGCAGCAATACCAAAACTTCATTGTTTTGCTCATCCTCCAAGATTTGACTGCTACTCTGCTTTTCAATAAATATTCTATACAGTGTCTTACGTGAATTATTTAACAAATGCATTTTTCCATCTAGTTTCAGAGGCCACTGCAATCAGTTACACTCATGCTTCAGGAAACTCTCAAAGACACAGAAGAACACAGAACAACTCAGGAGTTAGGATCTCTAGTTTGCCACTAATAAAACCAGAAGCAACTCATCTAAAACATTTGACTATTTAGAAAGTTTTGTCAAGCATCACTGTAGCATCAACGTGTATTTGCAAAACCACAAATAGCATAGACATCTACAATTCCTAATTATAGCACGCTTGAGAAAGTACTTTTAAGCACAGAAAACCCACAGTAAAATACCTATTCAAAGTTAGAGGCCATGAAGTGACATTCAAATGTTTAAGCAAAGACTGTCAGATCTACTACCTAAATATATTTATATTAAAAATAATGCAAGAATTTTAGTTCAACAGTGTGCAGGAATACCTTGTCAGCATACAAAATTAGCTGATTGTTCACCTCAGGTAAATTAGCAAACAAAACAGCCACCGTAACAGCAGCAAAACACACACAGAGCCCTAACAGGTGTTATTAAGACAGTAAAAGTATCAGATACTGGGCACACAAGAACAAGAGGTATGTTAACTATAATATGCTATTTTTGAAGCATCATTTGGAATTACACATACCTATATTTGTTGGAGGAGTTCTACCTCAACCAACAGGTACAAGCAATCTGCATGACTACAGGACATTCAGTGACTCTATCAACACTTACACCTATTTTTAAAAAAATGCTAAGTTACTTCTAATAGCATATGCAGTGGACCTAACTGAGAGGGTAAGAGAATTACCTGTCACAGTCTGTCTAGCACACTCCACTTTCCAGCCAGAAACATGAAGAGTAATTTACACATTACTATACTTCTGCACCTTTTAAATAATTTGGAGCAACTGGAAACTCACCCCCTACTCAGTTCTCAGACAAGAAAAGAGCAGAGAAGATGATGAGGGACTTAGAGCCTTCCTTAATTTCCTGTATCCTCTTTCGATAGCCAAGTTAGTATTTATCAAAAATGGATTCCTACCACCTTGCAGCAGAACACATACGCAGCCTGGGCTCACAACATCATTTTTATATGGCTAAACTGAGCAAAGAAAACCACTGGGTGGTTGAAGGTTTGTGGGGGAGGGAGGTACGTGGGTGCATGTGATGTTAAAAATCAATTAAAAACAGGCACTTTTCTGAAAAGGCGATGAGTCCTCTAACAAAGCAAGTTCAAATATACACATTGCATTCACAGTATTATTAATAGAAAAGTTAATTACAATGTATACAAATGCATCATTTAATTTCATACAAAAGAACTTGTAAGAATTTTTGAGAATGTTTGAGTATCTGCTTCAAACAGAGCTGTTCCAACATTAACTCATCCAGGTTATAAAATTATTTTTTTGCCAATGAGCTCACTTCCACATAGGGCATTACCTTGAAAAAGAAAAGAGAGTGGTACAACATCATACTACTCAAGTTTAGATCATTGGCCGAATTCAAAGAGGACATACCCACTGCTGGTGCATCATATTCATCCCCAAGTAAAATTTCAGGAGCAGAATATGCAAGAGATCCACAACTTGTGGTGAGCTTCTTTCCAGGTTGAAATTTGTTGCTGAAGCCAAAATCAGTCAATTTCACCAGTCCTTGTTTTTCAAAGAAGACAACATTCTCTGGTTTCAAGTCTCTATGAACTACGTGCAGTTTATGGCAGTAGGATATCGCATGAACTATTTGAGCAAAATATTTTTTTGCCAGATCCTCATTCAGACCTTCTTCATGTTTCATGATGTAATCAAACATATCTCCTCCATCACCTAGCTCTAAGATAAGATAAAGCTTAGTCTGGGTGTCAATCACTTCATACAGCCGTACTATATTGGGATGCTGCACTAGTTTCATGCATCTAACTTCTTGAAAAAGATGTCCAGTGGCTAAAGTGTCCAGTTTGGTCTTGTCAATCACTTTTACTGCTACTTTTTCACCTGTAAAGACATGCCGAGCGAGCTTGACCACAGCAAAATGGCCTCTGCCCAAAGTTTTATCCAAGTCGTACAATCCTGCAATTTTTCCATCATATCCTCGTTTGAAGCCTGCCATTCTGTTTCAGATTAAGTACTGTTTAAGCTCTTTGGAAACGTGATGTTTTCATATAAGAGTATCTGATGCAAATAAATAGTCCATTGTCACTGCCAAGCATACCTAAAAATAAAAAGACAGGATTATGTATTTGTATAAAAATAGGGAAAATAACTATCCTGTAATTCTCCTAAAGTTACACTGACACATTATTACAGATCAGTTATTAAATTCTTCAGGATTTTTTGCAAAGGGTTTGATATGCCATGCTGTAGTAACAACAGATTTCTGAAATCACATTATCAGTATGCTTGAAGAAAGTTAAATTTCAACACTGCAATAACAAAAATTTCTCTGAAAATCAGTGACATGCACATTCTTGAGCTGGAAACCTTGCAAGCAACATATGAAGAAGTCAGAGTTATAAGGACTGTTAGAATTGGCAAAGCTGAAATCTGTAACTTTTCTGACTATGTCAGAAATCAGCTGGGCATCATCGAACATTGACAAGTGGAACACGGAGTCATACATTCTATGCTTCATTTATCTGATTTTTGGCATATTCCTTCCTGTTGCATTATGAAACAGCTCTAATGCAAAGTTCTGATGGCATGACTTTGGACTTTTACCTTCTCCCTTTTAACAGCTTCCTGTTTAGCAAAGCTAAGACTGACATACAAGACTTAATTTTGTTACTCCAATTAGTCTGAGCATTATCAATCAATACTGTAATTACAACAAATGAACAAAGCTTTACAGGCCGAAATGAAACAGTTGGGTTGGATGTACTAAGATAGTGCTAAATAAAATGTTTTGTTAAATATTTTGACTGAAGTTATAAAAGCTGGTGATAAAAAGTTTGGATGTAGGCTGCATATGCTCAGCAATCCTGGGAATGAGTCAGGAGACAGGAAAGAAGAGTGAGAAGGAAAGGGAGAGAACTCACCAGTCCAGCTTATTTGTGCTGGACTCCTGCTTATCAGTTATTTTGGCATTTAAGCAAACAAGATCCAACATTCATATACAAACCTGGTTTTGAAGGTTTTATGTCCCATTGCTATTTTTTTCACACACAAAACCTCCAAAAAACTTTTCCTGCATTTTAACTTAGATTGAGGTTTTAATAAAAAGCTGTAGCTATCAAAAAGCTAACCATTTCTTCCACTTTTAGTGCAAAGTAGCTAGAAATATGAAAATTAGATGGCTTATTGCCAACTCAATAGAGAAAACACAGCTCTTCAGAATATATTTTCACAGTTTCAAAACTGAACTTCAAAAAGAAAATCTTTGAAAAGGAAGCTGGCAAACAAACAGCCCCCTACATTAGTTATTCTCAAGTCAAAATGTAAGCATTAGATTAAAAACACTCCCTGCTAAACAAGTTATTTCACAGGCAGTGAAACTAATGAACCTGGTTTCATATGGATTCAATTACAAGGTTGGGGGTCCTATGAGGATTCTCTGATGTTTAACAAGCTCACCTTGCTGCTTCTCCTGGCTGGAGCCATGGTATGAGCTCTTCTCTATCCAGCTGTCTACTTCCATAAAGTCCGTGGGAATTCACTTTGAGACCTCCACCCCTGTAAAATTTGAATTAAATCAATCAACTTCTGAAACCTCGTAACTTCGACAACAGAACAGGGTAAGTGTAACAATCACATAAACATTGCTGTTTGGGGTTTTGTTTTTCTTTAAAGATAATAATTAGGCTTTAAAAAACTTCATTGGCTTTTGTGTTGCTGTACCTTTTCATTCTACTACTAAGCACTATGCTCCAGAAGCTCTTCCAAAAACTACTCCACTCCAAGATGCCATAGTATGAAAACTGGGATTGGCATATCTGCTTCCTAACACATCCCATACCACTCATCTTGCAAAGTTTCTCCAACCACTCCCAATTAACCATGTAATACCATCCCATCCTTATTCCAGCAAGTATAAAACCAGATCAGAGCATGCTACATTAAACCAAATGCCATGTCAGACACTCCTACCTGGGAAGTAACCATAAGAGGGTGCACAGGGAAGAACATAGTACAATGGCAAACACAACAGTAAGTAATGAATCTCTCCTTATCTTTAAGAAATTAAAAAACTTCTTTACATCAGAGGGCAGTGGTGTGGTGTTTGATGATGCTTGATGGATTCCACCCCACCCCTCTCTGTGAAACTAGGCAGGTGCTTTAATAAAGCATGTGAAATTTTGGTGTCAAGAACATCCTGCAACAAGGAGTTTAACAGCTTAACTATGTGCTGTGAGAACCACTTCCTCTTGTCTGTTTTTCATCTCCTGATAATTTTTGCATCTTCTCATTCACTGTCTGTTCCAAAACAAGAGCTATCATACTCTATTTACCTTGCCTCAAGCAACTCACAATTTTAGCTTCCTCCCTTCCTAGAATCAGTTCAATCTTTTTCAAGTCCTAGTCTGTCACTCCTTTTAGAGGTTATTCCACAGGCTTTAGCATTCTTCTCACCTTTCTCTACATGTTTTCTCATTTGTTCTAGACTACTTTCTTGGGCTAGTTTGTTTTGGGTTTTTTTACTACTACTGAGCACTGACATAATATTTTCATGCAATGCTTTATCATAGTTTTATAATGTTCCATCATACTGTACAATGTTCCATCAAACCCCCAAAATGCAAGCTAATGGAAAATAGTTGACATACACACATAAACCACCTAACCTTAACCTGTATGAAGCAATAAGGGAGATATTAATCAGCTGTGTCCCATATGGTTGCATGACTCTAGTCTCAATCCTAAAAGGACTGCAAGCATTTAAAAAACAAACAAAAAACCCACCCCACACAAACACACTTTATAGGACTGCTGTCTCCACAGAACCACACTCGGACTCTTCACTGCTTCTAGATTAAAGAAATAAAATAAAAAGAAAAAAGAGCACGCAGACTTAAAGACAACTTTTTTAACTGTCACTAGGACATCACCCCTCCTTACAAATCTGTTTTACCCATAATGCATCCTATAGCCAGTACCTTATGCTAAACCACTTAACAGTTTTAGAACCCTTAAATTTAAAAAAAACCCACAAGTGTCAAAAAAGACAGCCATTCCCTACGCAGCTGAAGTTACCAACTACACAAACTCCAGTGCTCAAGTTTTTACAGACCATTTCCTTCTAGAATGTTAAGTCAAACCAAGATTTACATCTCTATTCACAGATTCATCACATCATGATCCATTCAGATCATGAAATACCTTTACTCTCTGAGGAGGAGATGTGGCTTTAAGAGAGATTTTCTGTTAAGTCTTGGATTCAAAAACAACACCTGCAGACAAGACAGAGCTTTCTTAGTACATGGCAAAACCAAAGTTTTTGTTTGTTCCAGTTTACTGAAAGATGGAGGTAAAAAAAAGCCTCAGTTAACTTTGACTTAGCTCTTCTTTCTTAAATTCAAGAATGTTCCATCCCTGGCAGAGTAAATGGGAGAGAGCAAAGCCTGCCAGATATAACTTGTCTGAATTTAGGTAACTACAACACTCAGCAGTAAGGCAAGATTTATACTAATTATTTTGTTCGCTTGGCACATTCTCAACCACCTTTGTACAAACTCAACAAGTGACTTACCTCTAAATGACAGAATACACATAAACATCAACCTGTCAACAAAACTCCAGCAAAAATCAGTTATGCTTAAGCCATGGAGAAATACAGCAGATAGCAATCAACAGGATAAAAGCTTACAGAAATGGAAGACAAACTACGCTCACTAATGCTGCAGCCATATTAGCTGAAATAAAATTAGTGCAGATTCATTAACAGTTTAACAAAGTCTCCATAATAACAGACTAACTAACTTTTAATTCTGTAGTTTTAAAATCAAACTTCAGAGACAAGCCTACCACAGCTGAACACAAGGATCTTACACATGGTTTTAAGTGAACATAGCAAAATTAATAATGGTTCAGTATAGGAACTGGTTGCAACTGTCATAGTGCATATAGATGCAAACCTTGATCACAATTTAAATACACTACCTAAAGGATCACAGTTCTATACCAATACTTCTCAGAGAAGTAGTTTCTTTTCTCAGTTTCTCCCTAGAGTAAGAAAGCAGAATTTTGAAAGGATCAATTAAGATTGCAGTTTCACAAGGTACCAGATTTCGAGCCGAAGCCTCTGTATGACCCTTTCTTTGCAGTTATCTCCTTAGTTACATCAGTAAAACTTTTGGGGCTAACTATAAATGGAATCACCCAAAATTTCCAGATTTAACACACCTGCTACCCTCATACTCCAAAACAGGATTAGTTTTAATGACAAATCATTTCAGTGATCCAGTTTACAACATGACCTCTTGAACATTTTTACCAAATGAAGGACCTGCAAACGCAGCACACGACAATCAAAATTTCAACCAGCCATACTTGACCAGCAAGCCAAACTACAGCCTGAAGAAAAACATATAAGACACAGTTATATCCCAGAATATATTTACCTGTCTTTCTTTTAATTCACATTATCTCAAGTCCTTTACAAGTTAATTTTTCAGCATTACAGAGTTTGGGTTTTCTAGTTGGTGAGCTTACTAACCATTAGCAGCATTTAATCCGTGTTGGTATTTACAGTTTTAAAAATGCAGTTTTTCCTAACTATACCAGAATTCAGCTACGCCCCCAATACTCATTTTATGCAATGTAGACATTTACCAGTAAATAGATTCAGAGCAGATCCTTTCCTTCATATATCCTATCCCACAAAATTACTGCAAACAGTCTCTGTACTGGAGATCTGCTGAAGCCGTTTTGTAATATCACATGCATCCGATTAAGAGGCTTAACAACAGTAATGTGATTCAACCATCTCTAAAAGACAGATGAATAGATCTCCAATAGATCTGTTTACAAAAACAGCATGTTTCAGAGACATTAGTTTTTCTTTAAGCAATCCATCCTGTCCAAAAGGTTTCATTATATTATATATTACACGTAAGACCAGCCTAGTTCATCTTACCTGAATGTATCAGCTTCTTACATTAGAAAATGAAGATTCAAGGTACCATTTCAACAAAATGTTTTAATACTATCAATGCAAAAACTTCCCTGCATTATGAGGCTAACAGACATAAAAGCTGAAGTAATCTTCACTGGGACTTGTCTGTCCACGGACAGCTAACCATTCCCGTCTCCCTTCACAATAGATGGAGATTCAGTCAACACAGAATAGAGTCTACGATAAAACAAACTGCACTCTAAAGCAGATAGCTAAATAGATCAAATGAATAATTTCTTGAAAGGACAAGTTTTCATTTTCTGTAACAGGAGTTTAGGATGACTAGTTCAGTGGATGTATATATTATACATATCCACAAAATAGATTAAATAAGTTTCTCCCCGTTTCTCCTTTTGCTCTTTTGTCTCAGATGAATAACAGCATCTACACCAATTATTTATTTACTACATAATTGCATGTAGAGAGTAAGACTTATGTTGCTACTCTTCCTAGAAACAGCAAACCACAATCTGACAAACTAATCAGAGATCCAGAAGCAATTTTTTTTACTCTGAAAGCAATTTGTACAAATCACTAGAATCTGAGAGCAAACTGAAAGAAATACCAACTCAGTATACAAGCTGTACAAGTATAATTTTTCACATTTTTTCCAATATTTCCTATAAATATATAGGAAAATAAATACATGTGAAGATACCTTCACAGCCTAATCCATGAACCTTTAAAAAACAGTCTATCTTTGTTACTATATGAGCCACTACTTCTGCGTGATGATGTTACACCTTCACCAGTCTGCCTTCCCTGAGAGGGTTTTCAATCGCCTTCCCTTTTATGTGAGTGTAACACGCTAGAAATAGGTACAAAGTGTTGCAAGAGTGAAGTGTGAGGAACACACACACTTCATGCATACTGCATGATCTGAAAACTAGTCATGACCCAATTCCTCCAGAGCATTTGAAACTTTTTAAGCCTCATACTACCCAATATTCTTTGGCTATTCAAGAACACAATATGGGGCTCAAGATCCCAAGAATCGATATTCTCCTTTTGTTTCCACACACAGCTGTCACACTCCAGCAAAGCCCTTCCTCCTCCTCCACCTTCCCATCACCTAAGCCTCCGCAACTACCATTCAAAGGTACTCAAAGAAAGGACAGCAATCTACACCTGCCCTATGGTCAAGCAGTTTGGGGGGGGGCAAAGACACAACACACAGGGGCAGCGGTGTTACAACTCAGCCCTTATCTACACAACGCTATCTAATGCTTTATCTTCCACTTTGCATGACTGCACCACAGCATACACACATACCTTCCCCTTCACTGATGACAAACCCCATAAACTCTCCTGCTCCTGGCAAGTTCCACAATAAAACACTACAGCAGATTTTAAGGTGTACATGCACTTCTTTTATTTTCATATTAGGCCTCATTGTCATCTCCTACAGCATCAGCATCCACCTCATACTGCATTACTAAAATGTCAAGATGTATCAGCAAATCTCTCATATTCACCATGGCTACACCTAAAATGCAGAAGATAAGAGTTATCAAGTAGTTCTATGTTCCAAACATAAAAAGAACTAACTAACCTGCACAAT